TGCTGCCTCTTTTCATCTGATCTGGCATCAAACTTTCTTAGCGATGATTTCGTTCTTCGATGTCATTAGAGATCCCTTTAAAGTATTCCGCACTGAATAGCTGTCCCATCTTGTAAGATCTTATACTTGCTCTTAATTCTGCTTGCAAAGTGAGTAGTACTCGAATCTGCTGTATTGCAGTCTAGGCGATGTGTTTTGTTTTGTTTTTAAGTGTAGAATTGCACTATGTGTAACAGAGAGAGTTTGGTAAACACACACACACATAATTTTTTTTATTGAAATTGGAGTGAATCTAGATAGCGAAATTAGATCAGAACAATTTTGTTTACTGACGGGAAATCTGATCTCGCCCATTTGGAATTGGGTCATTACAAAAACAATGGAAATGGTCGAAATAATTTTTATCGGTTAAAATTTGAAATAGAGCTTACTAAAGCTATGAGGAACTTTGAAATTCACATGATTTTGGGTTGAAAGCGGCACTCGTGTGCGGACCAAGGGTCGATTTATGTTCAACCAGATTTATCTATATAACGCGTAGTTATGCTGAAGAAGAGGCAGACGGTATAGGCAGACGGTCGAGGCAGTGGAGAGAGATCGGAGATTGAAAGTGACGCCATAGATTGGAGCCAAACGCCCGCTAACATATTTTGTTGATCTAAGTACAGAGAAGACTGATACTGCTACTATTATTACTACCACTGGAAACGGAAACGTCGCACAAACTACAATAATCAGAGTGGTTGGCTCGTCGGCCGTCGAGTACAGTCGAGCTGAGTAGAGAGAGATATCGGAGATTGAAAGTGACGTCAGAAATTGGAACGAAGCCTCCGCTAACAGGTACTGTTGAGATAAGTACCGCTGCTTCTGCTACCATGAAGATTACTATTACTGTTACTACTGCCGAGGAGGAACGCAACTATAAACTTTAAGCCGCGCACAGAAATCTTTATGTCTCCATCGCAAGAGTCGTATATCGTTCTTAGACGATTTAACAAGTTAATCACAACGCACTCTCTATGTGTCTAGAATCTAGTGTATGAGGTTTTACGTCAATTACTTTTCTTTTCTGTAACCCGTTCCTTTTCTATACTATTCTTTTCTGCTATAAAAAGGACATTAACAATTCAAACATTCTGCAGATATATATATATTTTTTGGTGCATTGTAAATTTCTTAGCACAGACTCTCCAGCCGTATCTACATCTTCAGTCGATCGTGAATGGATGAACATCACTTCTGCTTTCTGGATCAAACCAGGCACGGCGATTAAACCAGTGAACCTGTCGAATGATCTACGGATACTCAGGGGACCTACGGCCATTCCTTTAAGTTCGGTTAAGACCCAGTAGACACCTCAGCCCAGAGAATAAGACGTAGGAGGTTGAGGGGCTGAGGCGAAAGTGTTAGACTATGTATACCATTCTGTTTGTATCTATGTATGTATGTCATTCTGTTCGTATCTATGTCATTCTTTTCCTATCTATCTATCTATCTATCTATCTATCTATCTATCTATGTCATTCTGTTCGTATCTATCTATCTATCTATCTATCTATCTATCTATCTATCTATCTATCTATCTCATTCTGTTCGTATCTATCTATCTATCTATCTATCTATCTATCTATCTATCTATCTATCTCATTCTGTTCATATCTATCTATCTATCTATCTATCTATCTATCTATCTATCTATCTATCTATCTATCTAATTTGCATCTTCCTTTCTGATGTATGTAAGAGTGCTGTATCTCCCAATTTTTTTTTAAAGGATTTCTAATATGCCTAAAAATATTTTTTCTTTATTTGCCCATTTACTGAGCTGTTTATTTCACGCTAAGTGATTTTAAAAAATGGGTGGCAGATTTATTGGGTTTTTTTTCACGTTTTAACAAGAATGCGTTATTGTGTTGACAGTCCAAAATAATTTAATGCCTTGTATTTATTTGACTATTCAAGTTAAATTCTATAGTTTTCAGTTTCTCTTCAGTTTGTTCCTATGTTTCTCTTTATCTATTATAATGTATCGATTTACATATATATATTTTATATATATATTCCCATATGTATTTTGACAACAAGTATGTTATTCTTATATCTTTCGTATTTGAATTATAGCAAATGATTTGCATGGCTTTTATTCTTTTGCATTTGTTCCAACTTACACCTTCTTCTCTTCTCTTAGACTCTCGTTTATTGTCACTTTCGCCTTATATAATATATTTTCACTCTGCAATTTCCCTGTAGTGAATATTTATACCATATAAAAGACATTTTCATATACAATTTAAAATATACAATATATTTATATTTATCTGTATAATATACATTAAACATTTACATTGTGTTACTGACAGAAAAATTATCGGCACAAAACAGAAGTGTTTGCCCCAAATCTTGATGTTTGATAATTTAATTAGATTTTTAGAAGTGTTTTTTTCCTGTAACTTTTTGTTGTGACCATGTAATCTGTTAAGAAATAACAAAACAAGAGGTTGTAGATAAATAGTGCATTGAACAGTAAATACAACAGAAGCGTGTTCCACAACTTGGGAGTGTGTGTCGGTTGACCAGCGTTCAGTGTATATCACAGCCCCCATCCTCCCCACGAAGGAATGTATGTGGCACAAGGCCGAGTTTACCTTGTGTTCTCTAAGCTCGTAGGATCGGCCAAAAATATTCCCGTAGAATCCGCATAAACGGGTCAGGGCCTGTCTACCTCCCTAGACAAAACCTTGCCCTTCGGTAAAGACTCGTCCGGGTTCCTCTCTGCCAAAAGCAGAGAGTTCGACAGGAACTGCGAACAGTCACGGCCTCATTAGAACAGTCTATCACTTTTCCCCGAGGCTTACTTTCCTACTAACTTTATAGTAAGTGGAAGAGTCCATAATAGACTCATTAAAGGGAAGACGCTACAACACTTTTCAATCTCTCTTCATACTCACTGCCATGGAATGTATTCAGCCATTTAGTAATAACGAACAAAATAGACTACTTATTCACCGCCAATAGCGTTAGAAACCTGAACACTTTCCCAAGTGTCTTTTTTTCTTTTTAAAAACAATATTAAAGTCCTATTAGTTTTGTTTTCCTTAATCTTGTCCACGGATTTTCAACATTGATTTAAGTTTTAGCGAAAGCCAGAAGTGACATGGAGTTAAAGTTAGATTTCTAAAGAAGCTGACAGACAAAAGGTGATGCAGGGCTTTGTCCAAAGACCTTACAAGGGACCAGAAGAATCTAATAATTTACTCGGCCATTATGAATGCATCTGTGTTGTAGGGCATAAGGCCAATAAATGGCGTCTCATTTCCAACTGAGCAAACTTACAGGAGGGTGTTTGTTCGCGCAAATTTCCAATAATATTCTGCTTTGATTGGCTGCACAACTGGTTTTTGAATATATAAAGAAAAACAAAACAAGTGACTGGACCTTTTGCCTAAATATTTCATATATGGATGACAATAAACACACTTTTATTATTTTACAAGGAAATAATATTTGAGAAATCTAGCAAATGAAATCGCCTTGAATTAGTACGGCTTTTATTATTGCTGCTATTGAAACAGTTTCTCTTGGAAACTTTTTTTAAGCAAATGTCAATTATTTTCGTCAGAAGGATGACTTTACAATATTAAAAGGCTTTAATTGCTTCCTGTGCCTATTGCTGGGAACCTAACAGGTGCTACCACCCCAGGACAGGGTCGGCCTGGGAACATCAGCAATTAGGAGGTGGTTCTACACTTAAAACCTCCAATTTTCCGATCAGAGACTTTATTACCGGGATTAGTCTATCGTCATACCCAGGACGAAATTTATGTGTAGTAGTCTTTTATATAAAACTAGCAGCATGTCTCGGCGTTGCCCGTGCTTGATTCAAAAATCGTACGACTCATACAGCAATCGCTATCACTTGACTTAAAATATTTTTGCCCTTCCTTGCCTTTAAAGGAGTTTCCTTTGCCGTGCTGATGTTGCTACATGCCTTACTTCTTGCCTATCTCACCCTGCGAATTTTTTCTAAGCTCTATACTAAACATAAAATCTGTTACGAGAAAAGAACTAAACAAAATAAACACAAAACGATCAGCTTTAAAAAAAGGACTCGTAACTGGAAAAACCGAATGAAAAAAGAATGTTAACAACAAATATTTTTTCACACCGACCCAGTTCTGCGGAATCAGAATCAACGTTGAGTTTAAGCAAGCGAATGAGCCAATTGGAGTAAAGTGGCATGCAGATTTAAATTTTTCACACTTGTGACGAATGCAGCTATCGAATTTAGTTAACATTTGTGTCAGTCAGCTGTTGACTCTCACGCTAGCCAATAGAATCTTCATGTCTATTCGTGGCAGCCAGTTATAGGCTCTCACTCTGGCCAGTAGAAAATGGCCGCAAACTACATGAAAACTTTCGTAGAAGCATGAAAAAATCGATTATTTCCACTATCGATGGGAGTTGGGAAATGCAAAGTCGGTCTTGACCTTTTCGCTAACTTGGAACATGTGCATGTAAATTTTGGTGCAAATCCGTCGAAAATTGCGGCCGTACATTCGTTACACACACACACACACACACACCCATCCTGCCTTTTATAGAGATAAAAATTTCATTGGAACCTAAAGGAAATAAAATGATGAATTTTGGTAGCGTTAAATATAGATTGACAGATTGATATATATATATATATATATATATATATATAAACAACTCAAAATTTGTTGTTGTTTATCATTATCCACTGTAAATATACCTATCCCTTCAGGAATATTGTCATGTTCGACCCGAACTGCGACGTCTATATGGAAATAAATGTATTATAAATATCGACCAAAGCAGAATTTATTGCAATTTATTGGCGTATATCATAAATAATTTAAACAAGAACAATATTAATATTTGTGTAGTCAATAACGGTTTCACAAACAATAACACTGAAGTATTTGTTGCATTGGCTTTCGTTCAACCATTAATTTCACACCAATCATACAAATGGTTTACGACCATATCATGCTTGAACCATCGATTCTCGTAAGATCACCGAAGTTAAGCAATGCCGAGTGTGGTCTGTACCTAGATGGGTAACCGCTTGGGAATACTAGATGCTGTAAGCTTGGACTTCTAATTCCGAGCCATTATTCATTACATCCTCGCACATCCAAGCTTCCAGCAATCAAAATTCCCTAGAGGTCAACCATCTAGGGACTGACTATGCTCAACGTTGCTTAACTTCGGTAACCGTACAGGAACCGTTGTTTTAACGTGATATGGCCGTAAGCCCACCCGTGGATAAATATATTGTATTTACGGTTAGCTTGGCATTTTCATACATTTACTCTTGGTGCGGTCAGTCTGGGTTTGTGTAGGACTTACCACAGCAAGAGTTTCTAGCCGTTCAAAAAGATTTGAAACGAGGTGGACCATTTCTCGATTTCAGATACTGACTAGGGCTAAATATTTCAGGAATTCAAATAAAGTTTAACAGTCACAGTCAACATCCAGGTGTTCGAAGGGAGAGGAATCAAAAATACGTGGCGCCCATTTCTGAATCTATGATACAGTCCCCACCGAATCTATGGGGCCTTACTCTTAATGTTCATAAGTTTGTTGGTTGATATTTTTTAGTGGCATATCAACCTCTATGAGTTATTTAATACCAAAATCTAAATATTTTGTATATGATTTTATACTTTCAGGGTAAAAGGTATGTTTTTTTTTTAATATATACTTCGTAGGTCATAAAACGTACTGCTGGAAATTTCACCACAAAAATTAACTGTTGGTAATTTTTTTTATATATAAAAAAAGGTATTCCTAGTAATTTTGCTATAAAAATATACTGTTTATTATTTTTATTTCGGACTTCTCTCTTTTCTCATATCTGGGATCCTAACAGCTGCTACCACGGCAGGGTTTATCTGGAAACATCAGCAATTAAGAGGTGGTTTCATACTTCTTAAAATGCTTACTTGGCTTATGTCAGAGGGTATAACCCAGACGAAGCTCTGCCGAGGGGTGGAGTGTCGTCTCGGGAAACTGACTCCGTTTTTACGTGGTCTGTAGGGAAATTTTGCCCGAGCCTACGGGCTCGGATACCCCACTTTAAACTCGGCCTTGTGCCACATCTTGCTGCGTGGGGCAGCGGGTAAATAATTACTTCTTAAAACTCTCAAACACCCGTGAGATTGCTGCCAGGTGTAGTTTATCGTCAAACCGACGAGGAAACTTTTATAAGGTAGCCTTCCATATAAAATACAAATTTCCTTGTAACTTAATTATATACAATGATGGTTCATATGCAATATAGAGGAACAATTCGACTAGAAAAATTGAATATAGGTACAATGTATTTCAATACAAATAACAGACATGCCATAATAGATCATTCCATTTTAAATAAATCAACAATGTTTTGTGGCAATTTTTAACAGCAATTTGAGATTTTTCTTGTTGAAAAGTTGGTGAATTTTAACACATTTAACATTATGGATACAAAATGGTAAATTTTATACAGTGTTTTTTTTTTTTTCAAGACTTAGATTGAGCAAAACAAATTCACGGATTTGAACGAAAAGAAAAAAAAAACCGTCAAAATCTGCGAAAAAAAAATTCACCCTTTAATAATCAATTGTGGTGGGTTTATTTTGTGACATATATAAATGTGGGTAGAAAAAAAATGTTGATAAGCACTTTCCATGAACCGCAATCAGACTTGTTCCCGGGTGGTGGCTTCGGGTGTAATATGTACCGGCTCTGGTTGGCGCTGTGTACCGCTCAAACCGTAACAAGTCAAAAACACCACTAATAAATAGTGTATTTCTTTGTATATTGATTTCGCTAATGGAGTTGGAATTACTAAGTCTTCTTGGAAAATTGACTAAAATTTTGAAGAAGATCAGAAAGGTGGGGGAAAGAAAAGTGTATAATTTAAAAAGAAGAGATAGAAAGAAAAGAAAAGGAAGAAAAAGAAAGAAAGAGAGATAGTCGAAGAAAGAGAGTCATTCTCATGCAAAAAAAAAGTTCAATCTTGGAGTGGTGCAGACTTAGGTTTTGTAAAAAGCGCACTTAGTTTTATACACTTATGTTAAACTTAGAAGTCTTTTAAAGATATTCACTTTATTTACTAGAAAATAAATTTAGAATGGCCGATGAATAGGTGCATGGCTCTTAGTTGTTTCGCGTGAAAGTTCGTGTTTAGTGTCATAGAGGACAAGATTTTGAAAATTCTGTATGTCTTCAATGAACACTAAAATTCGAAAACGCATTGGAATAGAAAAATAGCAAACTTCCCAAAGCTAAGCAAAGTATTAAGAAACAGGAAAATTTCGTTCGAAACAAAGAATGCTGAACTGCTATGTAGTGAAAAAATGTACAAAGATATGATTAAAGCATGCGTCAAAGCTTTATTATATCTGACATCTTACTTATTATAAAACGCAGATTGTGTGTGTGTGTCTGTACGTTTATATATTGGATGGGATTTCCTACATTTTTCAACCGATTTCAACAAAACTTCACAGGACTACGTAAAATTACCTTGCGGTGGTTCTGACAGCGCCACAAATTGGAAAAAACACAATTGTTTTTGCAGGAAATCAATTTGAAAACACGATTAAGAGGTATTAATGAAAGGGGGACAACTCATATCGAGTTATACTTATTAATATCATGTTGTGTGTGTGTGTGTGTGTGTTCATTTTTATATGGGATCAGTTTCCTATATTTTTTCAACCGATTTCAACAAAACTTCACTTTTTTTTTTGGCAGGTAGTGTTTCTTATTGTCTTGCACACTTTTTCTTTATTTTTTACATTCAGAATGCTTTAAAATTCCATTTACAAGACAATTGTTTATAATAAAATTCTATTCAATCGGTAGACTCATAACGATTGAAAACAATGTTTTTGTTTGAGTTTGGGTTTGACCAATTCGTAAAAAAAAACTAAAAAAACAAAAACAAAAACTAATTAAGACATGCGTGTCCGTCAACCTTAAACAATAATCTTTGCCAATTTTATTTTTCAGTCTTTATGATGGTCGATACTTGATCTATCTCTTACTGTTACATCCCCGGGCAACGCCGGGCTCTACTGCTAGTATTGTATATGCTGGCCACTCGTATTCGAGGATACCTGTCTACTAAGGCGGCTAGCCAATCCCTATTGCAGACGCTTGCTCAGGCGCATTTGTGTTTATTCAACACCCACAGAGCCCACCTGTGTTTTATACTCCAACTATGCTGAGCAGACCTTAGTTACAGTTTCTGGAAAAGAGCGTGTTATCTAGCGTGATCAACAATTTGAACAAGACCAGCACGCTCAAGCCCTCGGCCATGATGACTTGTGACTTCGCGCTAGCACAGCTATCGACGGGACCCAAGAGTTCTGTGTACCCAATTTCACTCACAAGGCATCGGTCAACCCATAGTATGGTTTTCAGTCACTTTCCAAAGGTGTCGCTCGCCGAGATCGATCCTTCCAGTTCGATAACATCAGGGAGTCTTCTGACAAATCGACCATGGTGAGATTCGAACCTGGGTCTCATTGTCAGAATACGAGCGTTCTAACCCCTCGGCCACCTTCCATATACCGCCCCCTGTTCGCAAACAACCGCGTAAATATCTGACGGGGCTTTGTATAACAGTAAAGACTGCCAGAAATTGAAGTTACAAGGATAAAAATAATCAAATCATAAGTGCTTAACTGCTATGTAATACCAATCCTTTTGCATGGAAGTGAATACTGTGCAATGACATCACGGCTGAAGAGAAGACTTGAGTAAACAGAGACGTGATTCTACGGAATGATGCTGAGAATGCCATGGACGATGATATGAGGGCAGCAAGGAAGTTTTAAGGAAAATGAAAACAGAAGACACTAATGTTTTGAATTAGAAGGAGACAGTTCAAATTTCTGGGACGTATAGTGAGGAAAGAGGGCTTGGAGAATTTGACACTTATAGGACATATTGACAGGAAGAACGACAGAGGGAAACATCGAGTAAACCTACTTAACCTCATGTTTGTAAATGGATGACCGAACAAAGACTGGAAGTGATAGTAAATGAAAGAAACATATTCACGCACTTCTTTGCCTGTGGTACTTTCTTCCGTTTTTTTGCTTTCCCGCCACCCACGATCTTCAAAGATTTAAATGCAACGTCGATCGCCATCTTGTATCTTCCCGAATTTTGTCCTTTATCCTCACTAAAATATCATTCTCTTTCGCTCTCAGTAATCCGTTGCGTCTTAGTGGCATTATCACCCTTCTTGGGAAGAAATGAATAAAAAAAATCAACTCGAGCTACAAAAAATAAAAAAAAAAAAAACTGTGAAGAGCTATGATCTTCCACGTACTGAAGGATCACGAGACATAAAAGATGAAAATATAATGATATGTTGTTGGTAATTATTTAAACAATTTATTTACTGATGATACCCATCAACTCTAATCTTAAAAAAAATGTTTTCCGGCGAATGATTTTAGAGTTTTATTTGATAGAAAGAAAAATAGCGTCTATATTAAATTTAACATTTTTTTTGTCCATTAATTTTTCAGTACAGAATCCTCCATCAGAAGTTCTGTGTCAATGCAACTATAAATAAGAATTAAAAACTGATGGGTTATAAGAAGAAGGAATTGACAGAAATGTACTCAGAGAAAACGGTGCAAAGATCTCAAATGAAAAATATGTATGAAAAAAAATGAGATATAAATTCGAAAAAAGAATTTACTTTTAATTAAGCAATTTAAAAAACAAACAAACAAACAAACTTGGATCTCTAATGTCCTTTTCGGTTTCAGATGCATCTTTATTGATTATTCGGATATTGCTTTTTTTTTTTTTTTAAATTGTATTTTAGTTTGCTTGCAGCAACTTTAGTATTTTTATCATCTGTGCGCGATCGATATTTTTTAATAAACTACATCTATACAAAACTATAGCGACGGGAAGAAATATAAAAACGAGAAGAAGAAGAAGAAGAAGAAGAAGAAGAAGAAGAAGAAGAAGAAGAAGAGATGTAGGGTAAAGAAAGAGAGAAAAGATTAAAAAAAAAAGAGAGGGAAGTAGATAGGTGAAAGAAAAAAGATTCATTTCAGATTATGAAGGCA